TGTAGTAGTAATAGTAGTTCTAAAAAAACCCAGGTTTCACTTAGCATCAGTGGATCTCATGTTTAGCAATAACCTGGGTAGAAAAAAGGTCAGCAGAGACACTGATTGAATAAGCAGCTGAACTGAAAAGAGAACCACATTCTATTCTTTGCTCATATCCCTTACAACTGAATAATAGTTGAGCATACCTGTAGATTCATCCTGTTATTCAGCAGCATCACCTGAACAAACTTCCCCTTTTACTGAGAAGGCTACAACAAATCATGTAAGGGGAGCTTTTTCCACTGTGCTTCCCAGTGCAGAGCTAGAGGTTGTGCAGTCCTGGTTAAAGCTTTTAATATTTTCGGTCTTGTATTTCTTTTCCGCAGAGGGGCATGGGGTATTGTGACACTTATTTTGTTAGTTTGCTCTTACCCCGATTCTGTGACCATGAATAATGTAAAACTGACTAAAGAAGTAATAATACTAACAGACAGGGACCACAGAGTCTCAGTTCTAAGTTCATAATCTAGGGTCTCACGTGTAGCACTTCCGCAAGGAAAGGTCTCATACAGACCATATGATAAGGACCTTTGATACTCAAAAAAAAATAATTTTTGTTATCAAGTACTTTCAAAAGCTACAGGTGACCCATTCTTCAGCAGAATCACCCCTTGACCTGCATACTGAGTCACACAGTTAGTTTTCTGTAAGTATTCCACAAGGTGACAGGCCTCCTCTCGTAGTTGATACTCCTGGTCTTTTTCCCCTATTCCTATCTTCCTCATTGTTGCAAGTCCAAAATGACTCTTTTGCTTCCAGAGACAACCATGAGAGGACAAAACACCTAGGAACATAATGAATTAATGCTGTTAATGCTTTATAAATTAATGAATCAATACAATCAATACTTCAATGAAACTTCTCTTTGGTTCTATTTTTAAGCAGGGAGAAGGGATATGAATGTCTTCATGACCCCTGAAGCTCACCTGCCTCACCCACTTGCAGTCCTATCAGGCCATAATGGTAGGAAGAAGATGCAGGGTACAGGGAAAGAACAGAACAAAACCAGTCATAGCTGCCATCTACATCTTGGCTTTCACTAGTCAGTCTCAAAGCTCCTTTGAAAAGAGAGTATCAGGGTTGATTATACCCAGAGAGATAAAGCAAGCTGCTGAGAGTCACAGACAAGCTATGAACAGAATGTTCCTATGATCTAGGAACAGAATTTGAAGTTCCCAAGTCCCCTTCCAATACTCTTGTCTTGAAACCTAAACAGTTCACAAGCCTTCAGGTCCCAACAATACTGATGACAGAAGCAGGCAATAACATATCTTGCATTTTTATAATGCATGTAAACAAAGTTCTCTTTCCCTGAACTCAACATATAAAACAGGGCCTTCATTTGCTCACATTTCCCAGCCTCCTGTTCACTCTAGTTCTGAGCTCTAAGCAGCACTCTCCCTTTATCAGTTCTTGCCTAGATATACTAAGTCCGTGTAGCTCTCTTCCCACTGAGAAATCAAGTGGGAAGCGAGAGACCGCCAATCAATTGACAGCTCCTATTACGAACCTCTGGAAAGACTGGGGGGGGGGGGTGCAGGGAAGGAAGGAAGAGCTAATTTGAGAAATCCTAATTCCTAATTAATTCCTAATTAATGTCTCCACTGGAAGGAAACAAAAAAAAAAATTAAAAAAAAAAAAGAAAATTAAAGAAAAAGGAAAAACCCTGCTCTGCAATTGTCTGCTCTGTTTAGCTTGACATCAGGCCAGGCAGCACACACACCCTACCATGCCAACTAATACGTGCACAGCATGGAACCAGTCAGTGTTTTCCAATACACACTGAGCCTGTCTCTACAATGGTAAAAAAATGAACCCTGGTATTTATGGCCTAGCAGGTGGCACACAGCCTGGGCAGAGGTGTACCAGGAACCTTTGCCACCTCCAGCACATCACACTCATCATTTGTTTGCTTCACACCCTTCTGAAGATGTTCTTTCCCTGTCCTATGCAGTTGTTGCATTTGCTCCACTCCTACGTCCTGAAATCTTCATTACAAAAGTGTATTCCCTTATCTGTTCAAAACAACCAAACTTAACATCTGTCATCTTGACTGATGAGCTCCTGCAATAGTATTTGTGTCAGAGGAGACCAAGCAACATTTATGTGAAGAGCTACTGCTCACATACACTGAAAATATTGAAATAAGGAATACTGCATTAACCTAAACCAGCTTTCTTGTTTTTCCTTTCCTTGTAAACTTTAGCCTAAGCTTTTCTGAAATAACTTTCCCTCACCCTACTTCAGCATGACCACAGCTCTCAGCTAGCAGTAAGAAAACACACTACCAAGTGTCCAAAAGCCTAGGCTCAGAGTAAGCCTCTTGTCAGGCCCAGCTGTACGCAGCAGGACCAGACTGACCCTGCAGAAAGGTGTAAGACAGCAGACCACAGGCAGACAGTTAGGGTCAGTGAAAGCAGCAAGACCACTCACACAGATCTAGGCTGCAACATTGTGAGCAATGACACAAAAAAATTAAGTTCTGGCGCACACAAGCTGCAAGTCATTTAGACAATTTCAGTAGATAACTCATTTTAAAGTTTCAAATAGCACCAAAACCTGGAAAATTGAGTGGATAAATGACTGCTCAATAGCATAAGAGTTATCCTGGAACTGTCAGAATTGGCTGATAAAACCATAGGAGGTATTTAATTTTAAATTAATTAATCTCAGTTTTTTTTCCCTATTTAACTTGTCAAGCATAAGATTCATAGAACCATGCTACTGAAAATGAGAGTACTTAACCTTTTCTCTTTCCACTTCTTGCCCCAAAACCGAAATGGACAGATAAAAAAGGCACACAGGCACTCTCCTTGCCCTCTGATAGTTCTGCACTTTCTGGAAAGCATCAGCACATGCAGGCCACTAAAGTAGAAGAGCTGCATGGTACTGCACAGAGAAGTCAAGTGGTGGCTGCTCAGAAAGGTAAAGCAAGCAAATGCGGTAATGCCACTGTTGCTCTGCAGCCCCCTGAAGCTGCCCTATATTTCATGCTTGAATCTGAAATTATTAAAATCCACTAACACAAAAAAGACAAATGCTCATCTACACGTTTTTCAAGACTGAAAAATGCAGGATTGTACTTTACAAATTTTCCTTTATTAATTCACCAAAAAAAAACCAAAATCAATCTCATTCGAAAACTAACTGAAAGAAGCGTCCATACCTGTAGCTTCAAGGAATTTCAAGGAATTTAAAGGAATTCTCAAGAAACCCATGCACAGCACTTAATCTTCGTATTTCATGATCATAGCGTACATTAATTCCAATCAATATCCTTGATTTTGCTGAAAAGTTTTGAGGTGGAAACTGCAGACTGGAAAATTCAAGCAAGCCTGCTCAGGGAAATGATGATAAAATTTTAAAACAGGCAACTTATACAATTGCATGGAATCCCTTAATCTCCTATATATACTTGAACACAGAACATTAGCTGAGATCTTGATCAAAGTGTTGAAAACTCCAATTTAATGTATCAGTCAATAATAATAACAACAACAGCAAAAAAAAACACAAAATTCCATACAAAGTCAGAATTCATAGAAAACCACAGGGCAATAAATAATCGAACAGGGCACCTTTAAGATGATTTTTAGGGCTAAATTCTGAAGCACCATCACACTAATATGACTCAACCTGGGAAATCCCACATATTTCAGAATCATATATCTTCTTTCCTTTGCCTCCTAAATTCCAAATGAGATGGTTCCTAACAGTTCACTTAGCAGACAGAGGCACTCCAAGTCAACTCCAGTTTCACTCCTGCAACTTGTTTTGCTTCTGAATCCGCAAGATGTCCAATTTGTACATTGAAAGCAAGGAAAAAACAGACTTGGCCATCCAAACAGGAGTAGGTAAAATGAAAGATGAGGTTTGAAATCCTGTCCCAAATGAATAACAATTAAAACAAATAAAAAAAATCTGAAAGGAAGCTGAAGAGATTACCTAAATCCCATCTTGCCCCAAACCACCAGAATAATGCCATTTCTATTTGCCTTCCAATGGTGGAGATTACCCAAACTTTCAAAGCAACATACTGTAGTCCATAGATTACACCAAGGTTAGCAACTAACAGAGAAGTAAGTCTCTTAAGTTAAAATTTGCTACATATTGGTAGAAACACCTCCAGGAAAGCTTGAGGGGTCCATAAATCAATAAAAAGTTTCACCTCTTTCTTCAGTTTATTGGTTCTTTTCCACAGAGAAAATAGAATCTGTGCACTTTTTCACCACCAAAATTTGCAACAGCAAATTTGAATCCTTACCATGAGAAATAAAATGAATTCAGAAAACACCATACAATGCACTGAACAATGTCTCATTTGTGTTCCACATAATACCTGGAATACTATAAAATGGGAAAGTAGATACTCTAACACTTGAATTTACACTTTTTTAAAAAAAGAAAAAAAAACCCACATTAATTTAGCTTTAAGCTGAACTAATTCAATTCTTTTTCACCTCAGAGACCATAGCCTAACCAACAGGCATTGTGTAGAGGTTTCTTCTTCTACAAAAGAAACGACATAAGAATTGCAGTATTTAAGAAAAGTACTAAGTCACATATCATTGGTATTTTAATGTTTAACTAGAGGAAACTGCATGAGGTATTACCATTATATCCTTTGTATCCTTGGATAACTGTTCAATAATTAGCACTTAGAATTTTGTTTCCTTCTTAGTATCGATACTGGATCTAAGTGAAAAAAGAAACAGCTCATAATGACGGATCATACAAAAGAGTAGGCGTGACTTTGGCTAACTGCAAAGGACCACATATTTCAGTTTTCTAAGGACTTCAGCTTGGGAAAACTGTAATTGTCAGAAAAAGAGAGAGAGGGCTAACGCAGACAGGCTCTTTACAAAAACAGAGTTTGACTTCAGAAGCAGCAAACTCACCTGTGCAACTCCAAATTTTCACAGGAAGAGTTATTAAAAAGTGACAAAATTTTTAATAAGATGTTGGGGATTGCAGAGGTTTTTATAGCTCTAGTAGTGTGTCTTCTGATTTTGCAGTTCCTAAAGCTGCAGTGGATGCGCACCCAGCTTCCTCCAGGACCAGCTCCCCTCCCCATCATCGGAAACTTGTGGCTGCTGGACTTCAGACTTCGTCGAGAAACTCTCGCTAAGGTATTTATCACCGGGGTCAAAAAAATCAGTCTGAATCTATTTTAACTTGACTTGTACTTTGTATAGGAACAGTCTAAACTTGGAATTTTTTTCTTTTTAACCTCAAGCTTGATTATCAGCCACTTTCAGAGAATACAAGGACCTTGCACTATTAAAAATATTTCTGAGTAATAAATACCATAATTGCTTTACTCCTTGTTATTATCTTTCTCTTTTGGATACAGTAACACCCATGCATAATATTATCACAAGCACTGTCAATAGCATGATATTTCATGGGCTGTTTCATTCTCTATTTCTGTGTTGATATCTAGCCCTGTGAATCATCTCTAGAAGAAACTCCTTTGCCTGATACCAGTGTCACTGAAACATCTCCAGGCCACATGTGGTTCCATCTCCATTAGAAAACCAAACATATACTCAAAACTGACTCTTCTTTTTTTTTATTTGTACAGCAAAAAGATTATCACCAAAAAAAAGCAGGAAAATTTTGTTGCTGTTATGTTCACAGCACTATTGCTTTATGAGCCAATTTAAATTATTTTTAAAAGTAAGGAACTTTTAAGGAGCTATTTTAAGGAAAAATACAAATATGATCTGAAGAAAGACAATAGAGAAAAATGTGAAAAACCACATGGAAGCTACAGGAAAGAATGCAAAACAATGTCTTTGCTTTCTTCAGAAGTTAGAGGCAAGAAAAATCTATAATTAGGTTAATAAAATAAACAGAAAAGCTCTGTATTAATTTGTTCTTTGATTCTGAGCTGTCAGAGAAGACCTCTGTTTCTCTTTCTATGAAATTTCAGAGGTTGTCTCCCGAGAGATGTCCTTCGTCTTTATTCCATAAAGTACAATTATCTTCTATTCCCAAAGCACATCACAACAGAACAGTAAATCTTTTTCTGAAACCTGTAATTCAACTCAATAAGGGCAAATGGGCCTAGTTACAATTACAGAAAACTCTTAAAATAAGTACTTAAATGTATGCGCTCCTTGTTTATATTTATTAATTTACTGTTATTAACTCTTCAGTTAACCAACATCTATGGAAGCATCTACACATTGTGGATGGGACAGACACCTATGGTTGTACTAAACGGGTACAAAGCAGTAAAAGATGGCATCATCACCCATTCCGAGGAAGTTTCTGGAAGACCTCTCACCCCGTTCTACAGGGATATGATGGGTGAGAAAGGTACAAGATGTTCCAAAATACTGAAATACAAACAAGATGTAAAGAATAAAGAAGCTTTCCTACACATGAACATGTTCATGAGTTACTGCTATACAAGTACATCACAGGGCTTACAAAGTAAAAAAGCTCTATGCAGAGCTAGCATAGTAAGAAAAGGAAAAAACAAGAATCTCTCCTCTTATAAAGCACACTACTGACTTTTTTTCTCTCCAATAGATTCAAAGGAATATTTAACTAGAGAAATCGCCTTTCCGTTGTATCACTTCTAAACCAGAACTCATCTACAGACAAAGCTGATCTGTCCTTACCAAAACTGACTACCACTCATCTTCCAGGGTCACATTCATGAGCAACCTGGCAGTCATAAAAACCTAATGTAGAAACCAAAAGTCAGTATCTGAAATCACGGTGTCTTCTTCGTTAGTGAGATATAACCGAAATCAAATTTTGCTTCCTGCATGAAAGGATTTCCCTTCCCAGCAATGAAATTAAAGTTTCTGTGTTCTTCAGGTATTTTTTTGACAAGTGGGCACACCTGGAAGCAACAAAGACGCTTTGGCATGACCGTTATAAGAACTCTGGCACTCGGTAAGAACAATTTGGAGCACCAAATTCAAGCAGAGGCCTGTCACCTTGTGGACATCTTTGCAAACATGAAAGGTAAATTCACTAGAAGACTAACACTTCATTCTTTTTCTGAAATATAGTAGATTAGGGAAGTTTCACAACACATTTTTACAAGTAATAGATATTTTTCATATTAGTGGAACTTTCACCAGCTTCTTAATTGCATTCTTTCAAAAAACAAACAAAAAAATGTTTTGTCTGCACAGCGGGCAGCATCAAATTATTTTTTGAAAAAAGGATAGTGAAAAAATGTTTATTATCAACACAGTCTTGGTGACAGCTGGTGAAAATTCCTACATTTCAGGAGTACAGAAAAACCCTATGTTGCTCTCCATAAAATACACAACTTGTGACCTGCTGCGAATCATTCTAGGACAGCCAGACTTTAGGATTTGGCAGAGGAAAAACCCCAATGCAAGGAATGTATCATTCAGTTCTCCAACAAAATTTTTTTTTAAGGTTTGACTGAAATAGAAACCAATAGAATTTTAGCATGATGTCAAAATAAGGCAATTAAATGTAAATATTCCAAACAGCCAAATCCTTCAGGACATTGCGTTCCACACTGATGTGAAAACACAGAGAAGTTGCCTAAGGTCTCTCTCCAGCTCTCCTTTCACTAGACACAGCAAAATGGCCCATTTCTATTCTGAGAGCAACATATTCCCAGACCTTTAAAATGTACAAGATGAACAAGCCATCAACTCCAGTCCCTACACAGCCCAAATCTTTACCTTCCATGAAACCCTTCCTCAATTTTAGACTCAGTAATTGTATTTACTCTTTCCCAGAGGACTACAAGCATTAGACTGAAGTCAGAAATCCATAATCCAAAATTTTACATAGCAGTATAATTCAAAGGTTGTCCTTGCCATTTTAATGTGTACTTAATTTCATTTTTTCTGGATTTAACCCTTTTTGATTTTGCCTTTTCAGTCGAGGGGGAAGGGGCTGTGTGCGTGGAAATACATGTAGTTGAACTGTTAAGCTGTACTTGAAAACCAGAATGACAGAAGTCATTACAACATGTCTAAGAAATTAAAACTTTCAAATTGTTTTTTTGTTTTTTTGTTTGTGATTGGGGGCAAATGTTTGATTTCTTTTTTTAATGGCCAAACTTAAAATACCTACATCTAGATCTGAAGGCATATGCTCTAATTAATTGCTTGTGTTTCCACACAACCCAGACCACAAGTCAAAGAGAAGAAAAGAGACCCACTGTTTGTCTTCTCAAAACTGTATTCTACAAGAGCAAAAAGCAGATTGAAAGCAAAGATTCCCTCCTCTTACAATCCATACAGTTAATTTGTATTAAACCAATTCTATTAAAGTTTACTTGTGTGAAATTTATCTAAAAGAGTCTGAGCTACTTTTTCTCACTGTGCATCAATATTCATGGTAGCTCCTGTATTCACAGGCAAACCTTTCGACCCCCACACTGTCATTGTCCAGGCTATTGCAAATATAATTTGTGCTGTTGTCTTTGGTCACCGCTTCTCCACTGAGGATGAATCTTTCAGCAAACTTATCAAAGCTGTTTATTCTGTGATCTACTTCCAAGCTACTATCTGGGGCAGGGTAAGATTTTCATTTTCTCATTCTTACTCCTTAAAGTGCATTTGCACTTAACAAGTTGAAACAAACAAACTAAAAGATGATTACCAGACATTTTCATACCCTTGTTCTGTGAGCCACTGTGCAGTAATAAATTAACAAATACCTTGTCATTACTGCCTTATATTCCTCCTTTACCTGAGTCAATCTTGTGTCTTTAAATTCAAATTTTAGATCACTGCTGGTTTTCACTGATTTCCAAAATATATAACGTATTTCAAACAAGTAACCATTTGCAGAGTAGTATGTATGTAAGATTCTTAAACCTTAATATGAAAACAACTTTTAAAATTTATTTTCACTTAGTCTGAAGAATACAGAAGTGCAGCTAAAAAGAACTAAGACTTTACAGTTCTGTTCTTTTCAGAAGATATCTTGCTTCTCATGTAATTCATACTACCACGAAGATGTGAGTTTCCTGTAAGATAAAGGTGACAATTTCATCACATGAAGAAGATTATTTTTAAGTTCTTGAAAGCCTAGCTATTATGTTGTGCAGATTTTGACACATCAGCATTCCATAACACTACCAGGATCTCTAACACTTCCATAGAGAGATGTCTTAGGAAAAATAAAATATGCCAGAGTAAAAATAAAGGTTGATAAAATCTGCTTGTGAGCCAGATTCACTTCAATTACTCCAATTCACCCATTTTCAGAAGCTTGTGTTCCATTATTAGATATGCATCCAAAAAGTAAAATAAAATCATTCGCCTGCTTCCCTGTGACCTTCAATCTTCAATTTATATATTAAAGAAAGAAATTCTGATTATTGAATATTGAAAACTTGATCACAACAATTTTGACCACTGCATATTCTTAATAGCTCATCAATACCAGACAAGTTTTCCAAGTTCAAGTAGAGGGCAATGTAAAGGTTTCATAATTCCTCTTACAAATGTAGAACAATTTACAACTTAAAGGACCTCTGCACGTCAGCTAATCCAATGTCATGTTCAAAGCAGGCCTAATCGGATCAGATTGTTTTTAGGGACTTCTCTGGTCAACTCACAAGTCTCCAAAGACAGATTTCACACAGACTCCCAGAAACCTGTTGCCAACATTTAAGATCTTTTTGACTAGCATCTATTGCCTTTCATCCTAATTAGGAGCCCATGTGTGGCGATGACTTCACAGACTTATCAGGAAACCAGAATTGGGTTGTCAGTTTATAAGAGCTCTTGTTTCTTCCCTTTTGTTTAAAATCACAGATGTATGATGCTTTCCCATGGCTTATGCACCACCTCCCAGGACCTCATCAGAAAGTGTTTGCATACAATGACTTCATGCACCATTTAGTTATGAAGGAGGTCCAAGCTCATGAAAGACAGAAAACAGGTGTTTCACAGGATCTCATCGACTTCTACCTAGCTCAAATAACAAAAGTAAGTATCTGTTTATTGCACTCTCCCCTCTCCTTGGCCTACACATACCTGTTGTTCAAGTAACTGCTACAGAATTTTTATATGCATGCTTCATGTGTTTAGCAATTCACTTTTTTTTTGTTATAGGCTGTTCATTGTTTTCATCAAATAATGACAATTTCTATGTGAATGATAAAATGTCTGAAATTACCCACTTCATAATCTTCTTATGAATATACTCTACAGACTAAAGACGACCCTACTTCTACATTTAATACAGATAATATGGTGCAGACTGTAGTTGATCTTTTGCTTGGAGGGACAGAAACAACAAGTACTACCCTTCTCTGGGCACTGCTCTATATGATACAATACCCAGAAATACAAGGTGAGCAAAAGCATTATCAGAAAACACTGCATTCACCATTAATGAATGATGTTCATTATGATTTAAGTACTAGCTCAGCCACATGCAGTAAATCAAAATCACCCTTAATAATTAATATGAATGGTGGTACATCAAGAATTAAAATATAGAAAATGAAACAAATGTGCTTTCCCCATCAGTTCACTGAGGCAACACTAGCACAAATTAGTATTGGTAGCAGCCACTGTTTTATCACAGTAGAAGGGGATGGAAAAGACAGAATAACAAGCTAAAGACATTTCATAGTCTCTTCCTAACATTCAAAGTGGAAAAGCTTTAAAAAAAGCAGCTCTGATGCATATTTATAAACATATTATAAATTAGAGCTGTAATTTCAAATTTTAATCTTTTTTTTTTTTAACATAGGACTGTATTATTGTCATCACCAAGTGGGATATGTCTTGAATGAGAAATCATCTTGTGCTTTGGGGATATGCACTTTCTTGATCAACTAAACCCAACAGAGCAACATAATTATTTTTTTTTTCCTAGGCATACTCATACAGAAATCTGCTGGAAAAGGTGGCAGGGAGGAAGTTAAAATATTTTCATTTCTCTGCAGAAAAGGTTCAAAGAGAGATAGAGGCTGTTCTGGAGCCCTCCCATCCCATCAGTTATGAAGACCGCAAGAAATTGCCTTATACAAATGCTGTGATTCACGAGGCTTTGCGGTACAGCAATGTTACTTCTGTTGGGGTCCCTCGACAATGCATGAGGAATACAACTTTGCTGGGTTTTCACATTAAGAAGGTACAGAGCATACCTCCACGCTTCTTTAAGCTTTAGGCTATTAATATTTACTATTTATATGACATTAGCTTCTGTAAATCCTAACTTTGCATAGAGCGCAGTGGTAGCATGTCACAGACACAAAACAAAGCTGAATGCTTTGAACTGAGGCTAAGTCTACATTAGCAGATGCAAAAGAAATCTTGGGGAAAGGCTAACAGCACAAGTAGCAAACATAGGGAGAACTGAAGTCTTTCTTCTCAGTAGTCCAATATGGATGATGTCCGAGTACTAAAGCTGAACATGCATTTTAAGGAATGATGAAGAAATGAGGACTAATGCAAATCAAGCCAGCTAACTTTCACACATAAGGGAGCAGCTTGGAGCAACCCACTGTCATCCCTAACAAAATAAAAACACATACACAAAAGCCCCACATGCTTAACATGGCAGCAAGACATCTGACAGTCACATTGGCATGATATGAATGTCCCAAATATATTAAGCACAAAATTCATGTGATGGGATTGAAAGATCCTTCCAAAAAGGAAGGTGCTATGATTAGTCTGACAAGTATGCAAAATGATCCAAGCTCCCTCTAGATTAGACATGAAGACACTTTCAGGAATCCCAACAGAAAATAACTTAGACAAACACCTAATACATTATGACAAACAGAAGATATAAGAGTTTGTCGTGCCTCGATGTGCACAAGAAAAGAATGAGCTTCCTGCAAACACTGGGCTGCAGGCACAGGATGGTGTATTATCTATCAGAGAAAAGTCAAAAAAAAAAAGATCAATTGTACATGAAAAATATAATCTCTGCTGCTTCTTGCAGGGCACACTAGTACTGCCAAACCTGCACTCTGTTGTGTATGACTCCGAGCACTGGGCGACCCCTTGGAAGTTCAACCCAAACCACTTCCTTGATTTGGACGGCAACTTTGTGCACAAAGAGGCATTCTTACCTTTCTCAGCAGGTAATGCCCTGATGCTTGTGTACTTCTGTTTGCTGTGTTGTGCAGCAAGACCAACACACTATTTCTGAATTCTAAAACCTTAAAAACATACTTTTATGAAAAAATATTTGACACAAAGATTTAAAGTCAGTAGTTGTACTGTAAGAGCCACAAATGTTATCTTGCATTTTATTTTTTTCATACATTCAGAGTATTAGTATGGCTACAGGACATCATGCTTTTTCCTAGGTGTATGTATGGTTTCTACCCTAAAGGTATTTGAGGTCCTTAATTCCTAATGCATTAAGTTCTCAAATCATAAAATTGATTTATTGTCACCTTACAAACAGGAAACCCAAAGACAAAAGTAAGTTGACTTGTCAAAGTAGACGAATAAAATGTGTGATAAAGCAGGAAACCAAAACTCAGTCTCCCAAATCCAACAGTAATAGTTTGGCACCATGTTCTCTTGTAACTCCAGAAAACTAGCTAAATCCAATCTTATCACAAGAATATAAGGCAATTACAAAAAAATAATTCTAACTTTAAAAAAGCACATTATGATGTAAAACTTACCTTATTTACAACACAAAAGGTAGTGATTCAAAGACATGGGGCAGTAGGAAGAATGAAAAGCAGTATAAAACATAACTCAGAGGGCTTCTCTAGACAACCAGTTTCTCCAATAAACAGATTATGAAGAAAAGCAGCACAATGCAGGAAGCTGGCATTATTTACTGGAAAATAAAGTATAAAAAATCTAACAATAAAACCACTGGGAAACAGCTGAGATTTTTTTGTTACTGTGACAGATTATATTATTATACATTTGTTGTAGATAAAAAGCAAATAGTATACTAATGTAAGGAGTCAAATTAAACATAGTAAACCCAGATTTTAAAACCATCTGCGCAAATTGGCTGCAAATCCTAAAATCTATTTACAAAACAGGTACTTGGCATCTTACCTCCTTTACTCACCAAATGTCCACCAGTTTACGTGAATCAAGACAACTGACTTAGGCTACCATTTCAACCCAGCATAGGAAGTTTTCTTTTTTAACTTGTTTTGGTAGTTTTCTGTTTATCTAATCTGAATATTTATCTACCCCAAATATCTATATTTTATTTTTTAGTCTGGAATATATATATATATATATTTACACGCACATACTGAAATACACTGTGAAAACAATATGCCAAAATGAGTCACTGAGTCTGTACATCACTGCACACACCTACATTTCATTCCCTTAGCTTACGTATCTGCCCTGGACAGCGTTAGAGATACTTGGCTACAAGGATCCAGTGTAGTCACCTTAATTTCTGCTGAAGAAAACCTGATCACACCCCTCTTCTTAGCTTCAGAATTGTACCCAACAATGCTCCAGTCCTCCTTCTTCAAGGACCAAAGACAAGACACTGAAATACATGAAGCCTTTTAAAACCTGGCTTAACTGAGCAGTAATTCATGGCGCTCACAGAATAAGAAGCACAAACTGAAAGGGAAAACCTCATTTATGCTCTGGAGGGGGTAAAGTGTAGTAGGAGCAAAAAATACCCAAACCAAAAGACTGATATAATTAGAGATGTACAGTTTCTCAGTTAAATACGTGTCTCCCCACACCTCCAAAAGCATTTGCTGTCCTTACAGAAGTAAATGGGAAATAACTATCATACATTAACACTATTCATGGAACTCAGTCGAATTTTGTTCTAAGTTTTTTTTCCAGAATTTAACTGTATACAACTAACTCTGTTTCCCTTTCTTCTGCAGGGCACCGCGTATGTTTGGGGGAACAGATGGCACGAGTTGAATTGTTCATCTTCTTTACCAACCTCCTTCGGGCATTCAAATTTCAGCTCCCCGAGGGAGTAAAGGAAATCAATTTGGAGTACATTTTAGGTGCAATACTGCAGCCACATCCATATAAACTCTGTGCTATTCCACGCTAATCTGCAACACGCTACAATGCAGAGAGACTTCAACCTGTCAGTAATCGCAGATACTTTAAAAACACTATCACTATCTCAATTGTATTCAAATGCAGGTGGCTCAGCATAGCAAATTATTATGGCGTAGTTTTACTTAGGACTGATATGTAGCTGAGCTTCTTGAAATTAAAATAAGTGTACTTGCCAAAGCTCATATAATCATAGGCATATCCATGACCACAATAATATGTTATCAAACAAATGGATTTTCACACTCATGGTAGCAATGAATTAGATGTAGGATTTGAGAGTCTCCTGCATATGTGCTTGGTCAGGTATCACACTGTTAAAATGGCACAACTGTTCTGATGCTGCAATAATACCTGAATAAAAATTTTAAAAAAAGTAAATAAACATTTCTACATTATGCTGTTACTCCTCTGTGTTCTCAGAAGGTCTTTCCTTACATCCTTTTGCATTTACCTCTCACACTTATGTTGACTCTTTTTTCCTTCACACTCCCATAAAGGAGTTTATACCATATATTAAGGTATAAACTTCATACATGCATAAATGATTGCACAATAGGGCCTCTTTTAATCGTAGCCGTTTAGAAATCCTTGCACTTTTTTTTTTTCTTAATTTTCTCAGCATCTGATTCCTACTTTATGACAACTCTCAGATACAGGCTCTTTCATGAGCTTTGCCTTCTTCCAATAATTTCCTATCTGAAAGGAAAGAAACAGCCTTTCAAGAAACTAAGAAAATAAACAAAGGTGTCAACATTTGTTAAAGCCGGCACAAGAGGGATTTATTACAGTGTTTTCTTTTGTTGTCTCATCATTCCACAATAGATGTGGAAAGTTCTGACTACTTAGAATTCAGCTGCAAGCATCTTAGATGCTTTTAATCTTCAATGTTCAAGAGGAGCAAGCATAAATGATGGTAGGCTGCAGAAGTAGAATTTTACATATTTCTCAGGCACAAAATTAATGGAGACTTGATTCTCCTCTCAGATATTTCCAATCATTCCCTTCCACTTGGTGAAAACCCCAGGCCTCCATCACACTGTAAAGTTTGCTACTGCAGAACAAATGCAGACTTGAAATCATTGAGTTTTTGCTTTTTCATAAAAGACATTTTAAAACTTCCAATGTTACTTAATTTTTATTGAAGAAAATATAACATTTAAAAATATTCTCCTGAATAAGAAATACTTTCAACCATAAATTAAGAAAAATCTTTTAAACATTGTATTTCTTACAGGGGGCAGCGGGGAGGGGAAGATCTTGCATAAAACACATTTGTACAGATTTACAAAAGCAGTCTGATGTGACAGCCCATAAACAAAAGTTTTCAAGTCTTATCTTTTTCCTTTGTGGTGTTCATTAAAGGAAAACTCGCCAAGGAAATCTTCCTTTTCAACCCACCATTTGCACAGTTCGATAAAGGACCCATGACAAAGTGCTCAGCAACGTGACTGGCAGTGTAGGATACAAGCTTGGACTTTCTCTATTCCAGTGTATTTTGGGGTTCTTGAGGTATGTCCTACCTGAAAAACACTCCAGTTTCTTTCCTCTGTGTTCACCCCTTTGGTCTCTTGAAGTTACTCTGTAAGCTTGATTTTTATTATTTCCCCCCCCCAAAAAAATTATTATTTCATTATGCACATACATTTCCTGGTTTTCTTCCAAAACTTGTAGCTTGGATCAATGCACATATTCTTCACTTGTGTTTTTCAAAAACTGAGGTACATTATCATTTGCTGTACAATGCTGGTTCTAAAAAACATGGGAGGAACAAATATTCAGAGTGTACAAGATTAAGGAAGTATTTCTACAAAGAAGTCGCTTTAGGCCTGACAGTTGGTACCAGTGAAAACAGCTGGGGTAAGAGTCTCTTCTTGCTAATCCACTGAAAACTGAAAACAGCAAGAGTTGAGGAATTCCTGCGCCTTCTGGTGTTTCTCAGAATAACAGTGGGATAATTACACATTACCTTTTCATCACAGTTGTAAATGAAATCTGTAAGAAAATAAATAGTGCAGGGGGAAAAAAAAAAAAAGTATTTCATGAGTTAGCCTTTCTTGTCAAGAAAGAAAAGACATTAATAAAGAATTAAAGTAGATCAGAGAAAATAAAGATTTAGAAGTTAAAGACACAATGAAAGCTTCTCCCATGAAATATCTTAAAAAATTAAAACTCATAATTCCTATCTTCTTTAGAAGAGCCAATGCTACTGAAGATTAGATTCAGACATTAATTTCTGCCACTGATAAGAAACCTGTAACTTCCATTTCTTAATTCCTCCAGTTTTCAAGTCCTGAAGACTGTAAATGGTTTGTTTCTTGGTGTCGGGAAGAACCCTTTGCCCAAGTCCAACCGTTTCCATAGACTAATATAAGAAACGTATCTTTGAATATATTCCTTCTGTAATAATGGTCCTGCAATGTTTTGCTCCCAAAACAGCAGCAATAAAGGACTTCATTATATACTTCAGCTTCTAAATATTAAAATGACAAGCACCATGAGGAAAGTACATACAGGTCTTTGTCCATTTTTGTGAAGCACCCAAATTCCATATTGTTTGTTAGGGTTTAAGGACAAAATGTAATCATTGGTTAACATGACCTAGATTAAGAAAATTAGTAAACCAGTTCTAATCTTGGGTGAAGATGTTTTTTGCTAAGAGTTTCCCTTTTCAAAGGAAAGGGCCAAGTATCTAGATGTTCTTGTTCTCACTTAATAAGCAAAATATTATCAAGGGCTTGCTTTGATCCACCAACCAAATCAAGTATCTCTAAACAACTGTTGAAATAATTGAATTCTCCTCTCCACCCAGTAAAAACACCTTAAGTATTAGGTACTCAGCACTCACATCTAACCCTTCAATACTGCATGTATATCTAATCAAACAAAATGAAATACCAAAATACTAAATAGGTGGCATTAACTTGATCCAAACAGCTTGCACTCAAAGAAGGACTGCAATGAGAGGATAATGTATGGGCTGGCGGTAAAGAAACAAACAAAAAAAAAATCCCTAAACTCTAGTGTGGTGAAACCCAATTTCTGGATTGCCTGCTTGCTTTTCTTCTCTTTTTGCTGTGTTTTCTCAAGTCTTTATAACATTATAATATCATTAGAATTTCTAGATCACAATACATAGAATCCCAAATTAATATCAAAGCAAATCAGATGAAGAATACAATATATAATTAAAGCTAGCAGGTCTGTGGTGACATGAAGAATGAATACATCAAAATATATCCAAATACACAGATAGTGTTTACACTCTTGAAAGCAAGTCAAGTATGACTACTCCACCACTACTCAGGACTAACAGTCCCATTTCTCACAGAGGTCACAGCAGAGGTAGGTACTGAGGAACGATTTGAGGGATAAATAATGACTTTATAAAATAGTTGTGGATGGACTTTTAGCAAAGAATGGCCACATTCCCAAGTCAGCAAGTGCCTACATGGAGCTCAACGTGAACAGAGGATGAAGGAAGACATGGGTAAGGAAGCAAAAGTAGCACTGCAAGCAAGATAAGAAGAAACTGGACTGTGCTAAGATACAAAATAGTGGACCGTTAGCAAATTTTAAAGGTTAAGTTCTCATACACTTACTGTTACTAGTTGCTGTGTGCTGCAGGAATATGTATCAAAGCATAGTATACTGAGCTATTGTATATGTATTCAATCATCATAAAACAAGCTATTGAACATGCACCTACTTATACTACAGCAAACTATTGATGATGTATCCAAATATTACACAGCGAGCTATTGTAAATGCAACCATAGTTGTGGTGTATTACAAGAAAATCTATCCGATTATAATACAGCAAGCTATTGTAAGCCAAGGCAGAGAAACAGTATAGAAAAGATTGATACACTATAAATAAATGGCTTTTGTCTGATCACATTGATCTCTGACTGAGTCCATAATTTTTCTGCGGCAAATAGTTATACAGAAGCTTCCAGATATCTAAATGGTATGAAAAGACAAAACTTTGTTAGCTGCTAATAAATGCTAGCTTTCTGGCTGAAAAACAAAAACCCAAATATTAACTACTTTACTGATTATCAGTTTGCAGCAAGTAAGCAAGAACATTCAAAGTCCAGTCCACTAGTATTTGACTCTCAATATTAGTTAATACATAAGCCTCAAGGATGCCTCAGCAACACCTTTAGAACAATTGAAATTAAAAATATATCACTTACTTCTTGCAATACTTGTCCAAGTGTCTCCCGGCTGTGAATGCGCTTCCTGTTGGAAACCAAAACCACACTTATTTCTGCACAAAGCATTGGGGGATCTTGTAAACATCAATCCTAACCCCACTTCAAAAAAGAGAGGACTGTTATGCTAGGATTTGCTCCACATCCTTTCCCTCATGGAATCTTACTACAATTCTTATGGAATCTACAGCTTCCGATTCAGACCTGTTGTTATTTGCACTGGGAGGAACTATCTGAAATAAGGCCTGCTACTCCTTGCATTTTCTCTAAAACAACCCTGTTTATTAAAAAGCTTAGTGAAACTTCAGCATAAATTCTAACATCCAGATATAGCTGGTAATTCTTTGCTTTAGTGCCATTTTCTCCAGCAGTAGACATCTGTTACTCAGCAACTGATGCAAGAAGATTAACAAAAGCTTCTTTTTTTTAGTCATTCTTCCAATGATCAAAGTGGTAAACAGTGCTTGAAACACAACAGCAATAAAGACTAAAAAAATACATATATCTTCGGTCAAAGAACATGTTACTACAGCTAGTTTCCAGATATCCTGTAATACATACATTAAAAAGACTAGAAACGCAAATAGAAGGCAAGAGATTTTTACCTGTCTATTTTGGTTGCTATGACCACTGTAAAATCGCCTTCTGTATCAGGCAAGTAGGTAGAAGGTATAATTAAATAGCTTCCTGCAGGAAGTCTGCAAAGCTGGCTTACTTCCTGTGAATAGCAATGAGGTACACAGCTAACTAGTGGCTCCAAGTGTAGAAAAGAGGAAGTATGTGGTTTCCAGCTGCTGTTAGGCACCTGCAAAAGAGGAATGAAAACATGGCTATCTTGGCATCTATTTCAGGTCTCACACTGTTAAATTCCTAGTATGCCATGGTATCCTATGTTCCTTATCTACTCCACTCTTCTGTAAGAACTACAGAAGAGAAGGATGGGAAGGCAGTCAGATAATCCAGATGGCAATACTGAGTACATATAAATCATTCCTAGTATGTTTGTAGACAATTTATACAACCCACTACCCACACAGTTCAAAAGCTGCTGTCTAACCTCACTCTCTTGATTTTCACCTCATGGATATGGTGAGCAGACTGCCCCACCTCTTTCTAGTGTTCTTTCCTATCCTAAAGTTTCATAGTAGACTTTCCATGCTCCTAGAAGCATGGAAAATGCCAGTCTTTCTTCACATATTGTATATTTGAAGCTAGATGATCATTCACAGTGCTCAGTTCCAGACTCTCCAGTTAAGCAACACCTTTTTTTGAGCATGTTTCCAAAAAATAAAGCTAGCTTTCCCCACAATATAGCTACCCAACCAGAAGCTTCCCATCCTACGTTTACGCAGTTGAGTACTGGCACATGCATGTAGAATGTGTATTTGTCTACACCAAATGATAGCTTGTTTTCATTCAGATCATCCGTTCAACATATGACAGCCCTTCTGAATTCTAATCTTGTCTGCAGATCCCACATCAACTTGCCAATGGACAAATAAATAGTTATTAGAGATGAAGAAAGTAAGTCTTTATGATGAATCACCAGAAAGTCTGCTCCTCAATCACCAAGACAGAAATTTTTGCAAATCCTCAAAAGAGTTCATAATTTCTAAAACTAATTTAGAACATTGGAAGGATTCAGTGAAGCCAATTGTCTGGTTTACTACACTATGTAACTGGAGTTACTCCATATCCTTCATAGGCAATACTTCACAGGATCAGCCTGTGTTTCTCAAAGAAGTGGCAGGTCCCTTGCAAAGTGCAAAGGGCAGTGAACTGCCCAACAGGCTTACCCCCAAACTTGGCAAATGAGCAATCAAACTGACCAGAAATCTTACCTGGAAAATATGGAAACCTATTGGACAACACTTGCTATCTTGGCAGTGCTGACGGAGGGTAACTTTCACACTGCTTTTTCCTGGTCCTGCAGGAATTGAGAGTGGAAAGCAGGGATTGGTATGGAAGGAGGGGAAGTTCCTGCTGCCTCCGGCACTTTGCCCATTTTTCCAGCATCCATGCAGCTGCACTGTCTCCCATTCACCTGCTGGGAGCTCTTCACAGAGGGTACCATCTGTGGGAGGTGGCTTTAGCTCACTATCAAATACAAGAGAGAAAAGAAACTAAGATGTATAAAACCTGCATGGTTTCACAAAATCTAGTACACCAGTTCACAAAAACTAACTAGTATTACATAAACTTACAGGAATACAATTCCTCCAAACTTTCAGTAGGGAGAAAAAGAGAACTGCACAACTCTAAATTCTTAGATGATTCAGAGAACTCCACAAGAACAACACAGTGAATACAAACCATGCACCAAAACAAGGTAAGGTTTTTGTACATTCATGAAGTAACGTATCTTACATATTTTAACTCAATACCCCTGTGCTATTTTGTCCTATTCAAAAGTGACACAACTGACAATGTCTTCTGGAGTATATCTGAGCAGCTCAGTAAGTCCAAAGATTACACTGCATTCTTTTTTATACCTTCTTTAATCAAAGGAAACTACCATTCTACCTGACTTGATCTCTGTATTGTTAATCCTATTTCAATCCAGCCCAGCAACACTTCATACAGCCATATGAACAAAGCAGTATCATTACCAGTTGTGCAACATTTGAAACCATGTTTCAGCATAACTTGAAACATATTATCTGTTCTTGTTTCCAAGTTTCAAGTTGAGACCATGCAACAGATGTTACAATAGGCTGTTCATTCTAGACTCACATTGAGCAAGCGTTACACATAACAGCAGTATGAGGAATTTTATACCATCACCGAAAGAGCAATATGTTCTACAGATTTCATATGTCCAGAAACTAAATATATTGCCAGTAAGTAATACACAGCTTGCACCCATACAGCAAAATTAGCCTCAATTTTGCAGACCTTTATTTGGTCTAGAACTTGATGCCACCTTGCTTCCAAATTCAAGAGTAAATGATTAATGCATGTTCTGGCTTTGCAGTGTGATTTGCCACCTTCTTTCCAAGGAGATGTGAGCTGATAGTCTGCTACCAGAATATTTAAAAATTTGAGGAGCTTTTAAACATGTTGCCAACAGTATGATTTGCCTCTGCATGTAGCTTACTGCCATTGCTGATATTTTCTGTTGGGTAAGCAAGCAGCGTTAAACAGAAAGAAAAGATTTTCCAAGCCTTTTATAAAAGTCTATTTTGTGTCACAATTTACGAGCTGTGGTCATTATGCCATCCAAGTACCCTGCTGACACTCCATTTGCATTTGAAGCTGTACTGCTCACCAATAACATTGTCATATGTCAGGCAATCTGTTAATGTTTTCCGACATACATGATAACATACTACTCCTCTTTTCTGTCGCTGACTGCAATAATAACAGCTGCTTTTTACTTCCATGGGACATCTTCATTTTTTCCATACATTAAGAAAGAACTTCCACATATTGAGAAACACGTCCTACAGAAACTTCTTCAGTTCTTTTACCAAATACACACTTCCTCAAAACATGAGGTGGCAATTTACAGTCAGGCTGCTACTCATCTGACTCCTGCTGACTGATATTTTAACAAGAGGTTCTAGCAGCTTAATGTAAAATCCAAGGAGATAGAACACTACTTGCATGAATTCAAAGATAAAACACTGTGATTTGGTACTGCGCACAACCCTTCTACACATTTTGAACATTTAAGCTTAGTGCTATACTTCATATATTTATGTCAACAGCTGTAAGAAGTTTTCTGGTTTAAACCTACCTGAGAGAGATCCTTCCTGTTGAAAATACTCGAAGCAAGAAATTCCCTACTGCATCTTTCAGAAAAGTGCTGGGAACAACAAGATAAAACCCAGGCGAGAGGTCACAGCATACATGTACTTCTCTGTCATAGGAATGGCAGACAGTACCTACAACTGGGGGAGCAGAGAGGGTCTTTGGAAGATTAAATCGTTTCTTCTCCACCTAGAATAGATGCATAATGATGTGTAGTGGTTTAGGAAAAATTAGGAGGTTTTTACTAAAACTAAAGACAATCAAGTATTGTTTAAAACATGCATACATTTACAAAAGAAAACAAGTAAGGAACAGAGTATCAGCAGATAAGCTGGACATCAAAGAGCAGTAGGAAGAGTCACTATTCAGGAGGGCTAAATTTACAAAGTGTCATCACATAATCAGCCTGAAATGTCAGGTTAAGTTTTGGCACTAGTGTGGCACAGTCCAAAAACTTCTGCTACTTGGCACTTAGTGATGAGAAGAAAGTACTAGTCCATAAATAGTTTTTACAGACAGTAACTGCATTGAGACATCATTCTAACATAAATCAGAGATGTAAAAGATGTGAACAGCTGAATCATATCACTGCCACCGGAAATGAATTATTTTATTCAGCTGTTTCAGTAATGCTTTAAAACTTCTATTTGCAAAAAGAAAAATGTTGCTGCCATATTACCTTCCAGACATGCAATCCCACAGCCTGGTAATTCTTCCCCTGTATGCCTTCAGTCAAAGATAGATTTTCCCCTGCTAAGTGAGTCAGATTTTTAATTCTTCCAGCCCAGTCAGCATGGTATTTCCTATGTTTCTGCAGCAGAGCAATGCACACCTCGCTCTTTTCACAGACTCTCAGCCAGAACTTAGGGTTGGTAGGGAAGCTGCTGTTGTTACGGCAGCCACCAGCAGACTGGCCTCTCACCCAGGATCCAAAGAGATTCTGAGAGTGATACAGCACTTTCCCTAGCAAAATAAGAAAAACATGGGGCAGACTTCAGACACCAGAGGCTACTTAATTTTTTACAACAGATACATAGCAAAGGTCCCCAAGCCCAAGAAAACATGCTGTTGTAGCCCTTACACTTTCTCCAAGCAGATATTTATAATGGAAATACTGAGAGGCATGAGATTAAGGTCACAGCTGATACTAGCAGATTGATGACATATTTACAAGAAGAAACTGATCCTAGAAATATGAAGTTTATCTCCCATTTCAAAAAATAAAAATTACAAGGCTATCCAGAACAACAGCCTTCTAGATTGAGAACACTAATCTCTCACAAAACTAGAAGTAACCAGATTTCAGAGAAATACCTAAAAATCTTCAAACTCCTCTTTTCCCACTATTCTTCCCAGTAGGAAAGGGAAGGCCTACAGGTCTAAACAAAAGGGAAAGACTGAGAAATTGTGGTATAGTTGCACCCATTTGCAATTCAAATCAGTCTTTCCCAATACATAACATTATTTGCACAAGAAAGATATTTCTCATACCATACCTGTAGAGAGGCTCTGAAGTTGTCCTTCCTCATTTACTGGAAAGCCCATGGTAATCTCATCAAATTCCCTGAAAAATTCCTCTTCATCAACCCAGAATTCTCCCTCTTGGATCTGTGAGAGCAGTTTTGAGGCAACGACTGGATCGAGCTGACTCCATCCTTGACCACTACACATAAGACAAAAGTTAACATCTAGTTCTTTGCCCAATAAAGTTCTAGAACAATGTTATATATATCAACTATCCTATGGAGTATGACAATAAGAAGAGGTTTCTTCATTTCATAGTCAAATTCTTGCACTGAATATTTCTGTATACACCTTGCTAGTCAGCAAGAGGGATAACGGAAAGTATGAATCACAAAGTATCAAAGAAAAGTTAGAAAGAACCTTATGCCAGATTGGATACAGAGCACACTTCTAGGTGAAACAGCTACTTTGCTAACAACAGACAGTACAGTCCAAAGTGAGAGAGCAAAATAAAGATTTTAACAGTTGCTCAAAATAGTGACAAAAAACTAAAGCAAGCTGCACAGGGACTCCTCTGAAAAAAAAATGTTAATGCTGTGCAGTGAACATCAAAAAAAACACCATCTGTGTGAAGCAGTTGGTTATCTCCACGACTCTGCTGGCTAAGTCATGATAAACCAAGAATTTAAACATTCCAATTTTTAGGGCTCATGAAAAGTACTTTCAACATTTTTACTGTTGCACTAACAACAAAGAACAGTTCTGTACTTGAACAAAACAGGGCTTTAAAGCCACACAATGAAACCTATCCTATGAAACCACATGGCAGCTTACTGTTTTGCAAAGAAACTACAAGAGACCAAGTGTATATATAAAACTCTGCCAAAACCAAAATACATCAACTTAAGCCTCAGGTAATGTTACCACATTTTAATGCTGAAAGCCTGCTCCTTGGGTCAAGAATTGCATGTTCTTTTGCACAGTCAAAATATGTTAACTTTTCAAAATAAGTTAGTAGGGTCTGCCCTTTCATTCTTGTTACTTTGCTATGTGAACCGCTAAACATATTTCTGCATTTCTACCTTTTATCTGCTCTTTGTATCCACTCCATACCAGCTTCACCCACCCATATTAATGTCCAGAAATGAGAGCACACAAGAAAAACAAACATATGCATCCTCTCTTCTGCTATATTTTGCTTTATACATACTCCTTTGCTTGTTTTCTGCAACTGAAACAAGACCAAATGCAAAGAGCCAAGTAAAGCCGAGTGGCTACTTTTAAGTCACAGTCACAAGCAAAGATACTTAGATCAATTGCAGAACAACCAAAAAGCACCACAAAATTAGGAGACAAAAAAAACAAAAACAAACAAAAAAAACCAAAACCCACCAACATCTTAAGTTTATCTCTGCAAAAAGTTTTTTTTTTGTTATTTACCAAAACATCAAAACTTATTAAGAAATCTAGATTACCAGAACTAATTAAAATGCCCAGCCTTGGAAGCAATGGGCTGCCTATTAGCAGTATTTGCCTACGCAATACACAGACGCACTTCATGCTTCACTACTTTCACAAATGAATTTCCAAATGAAAATAAACCTACTCACCCCTCACACCAGGGTCCTCTCCAGCACCGCCTCCCCCAAGGGTTTCGTATTCGAAGTAGAAAGATTTCCTTGCCTGACACTTCAGACACATTCAACATGTCTATCACAATAAAGGCATGAAATTCTCCTAGTTCGCTTGCACCTAAAACGGGAAAAAAAAAAAAAAAAGGTATTTGAAAGCAAACAAAAGAACCTGCTCCACATTTTACAATGAATGACATTAAACTATCCTGTGAAAGAAGGCAATTTTGAGACAAAAGGAAGTTGTATAAAAAAAGCATAAAAAAACCCTGAACAGTTCACTATAGTTGTGACTATGTAGAAATAAAATAAATTGAAATTTTAAAGCATATTAACTTACTACTTGATCTCCAACATTTACAAAATTCTCAGTGCTGAAATTTATTGGGATTTCTAAGGTTGTTTTTTAGATAGCATTTCGGGGAGGTATGGGGCATGTTTGTCTTTGAGAAGTGACCATATTAGTATCTAATATAAAAAGCACTTCACAAAAGCACCCTCTATCCTGAGCTCAGTAACATCCTCAAATGTTTATTTATCCAAGACTTACATAAAAACGCACCATAAAACTCATATGGTACTAGAATCAGCACCATGCATTTGCTGGCTGCCTTGTGCTCTGAACCCTGTTCAATAGAGACATTTACTTAAAAAATGTCTATTACCTTGTCTGGAATCGAGGACTGAGCAGCTTATTACACACTGTTCCTTCAGATTCATTAATCTTCTAAACACATCTTTCTCCAAAACCATGCCAGACTTCTCTTTCTCCATATTTCTTCCAGGGCTTTTTAGGGTCCATCTTTCAGCAATTCCGCCAGTCAGATCCACCAAAGCGTCTGCCACCTGTCCTGCCCACAACTGTTCATAAGATCCATGCACTCTAAAAAAATTAAAAATAAAATAAAAAAAAAAATCTACAAACAGAACTAAAGAAACGTAGTTCTTACATACATACAACCCAACTCTGTATCACAATCACGACTGTACCCGGCCTCATATCCCCAAGCAGACAAGAGAAAGCACATACTATTTTATTTATACATCACCTAAAGAATGTGAAAGCCATCAAAAATCCCACTGTTTGATGGGAAGTTTATTATAATTCATTCTATCCTACACAGAAACTGCTATAATTTAGAAGTAGCAGTTACTTGTACCTTATTAACCATGGTCTGTATCACCTGGTGTGATACACTAACTGCATTCTGTATAACATTTTTTTCTCTTCAATTATTCTTTGTTCACTCTGCATAAGCCACCACAGTAGCACTTCATACAACAGCTTAAGTTAATCGAGCGACTACCCTACCTGATGTAGCAGATGCAAAAGACAGCAAAAGAAATCAAGACCATAATAGAATTATAAGATCTCTACAGAAAACAAAGAATACTACTTTTCAAACCTATAGAGAAGCTTTAACTTGCCATTGCCTCTTCACAACTGCTCAACGCTTCTACAGTTGAACTACTTCATACCTAAGGTCTTTTTCTGCCCTCTGCTGGCAACCACTACCTTTTGTCCTCGTTCTCTTGGACATCGATGTCTATCTTACCAGCACACTTAGTGTCCAAATTGTTTTGCTCACCTGAACAGCATTTTGACGGATGTGTCATATAACATGAAATAGCTACATTTTCAAACACATTAATAAGACAAACTTTTCTTCTCAAAATAATAAACTATCATATTAAGTGAGCAATGAAACTCACACAACCAGAGCCTTAACTAGCATAAACTTTTAAATGTTGCTGCTTTCCATTAATACATTTGCACACTTTCTGCTTTCCATTGATCCCTCAACTGTCCTCAACTGCTGTCCTCACTAGCAAAATACTTCCCTTTAATAAATTATATTACCAATGGATAGCAGCTTAATGAACGTCATTTGAATCCCAATAATTCATTGCAGTTCTTACTTTTCATCATAATTCTCTCCCTAACACTATCTTACCTCATATGCAACCAGAATTGTACCTTACAGATCTACAGCTTAAAGAACAACTTCTGCACAGCCCAGTATGGGAAAGCTAGCAGCCATTGTACTTTCTATTGAATAATACATATGTCTATGCCCAAAAGAGTCAGATAAAATAAGTAAGCAGAAGGTATTGTATTGTACCTCCCTTTACTTGCCCAAATAACAGTATTCACATACTTTGCATAAGCTTTTTCCAAGAGTGGAAGCCAAAACAAATCCTCGGTCTGACACTGGGAAAAGCAGAGTTTACCACCAAGGCAAGGCAAACGGTCATCGATGGTCACTTCCACCCAGTGTCCAAACTGCCAAACTCGACAAGTGAAGCAGCCTTGATATGACTCATCTGTCCAGCTGGGCTGACCTGGAGGGATTACCTAGACGGCAAAACCCAAAATGAAGACTAATAATTGTGATCCAGGTTGTTTTTTGGTGGTGGTGGTGGAGGTGTTTTGTTTGTTTGGGGTTTTGTTTTTTGTTTTTGTTGTTCAGGTTTTGTTTGTTGTTTGTTGGTGGGGCTTTTATAAGCAAAGCCAGTTTAAATATACTGAATATCAACCATTTGTAAATAATCACAGGAAAAATACCACATCAAAAACAGTAAAACTGAGCATGACAAAAGTGATACTCACAGAGGCCTGGGATTTGAGAACAATATGCAAATATAAGTTAGGTGAAAAAAAAACACCTTACAAAACATGAAATAAGCATCTTCTCTATACCTTGTTCAGTAGGTATTTACTCTTCTGCAAAACTATACAGGCACACAGGAACCAACAGTCTCCCAATATCCCTTGTTTCACTTGCACATCCTGCAGATTGCTTGAAAATAACCGAGGAGCAGAACAAATGTCCTAAAATCAGAAGATGGGGAATGAAAGTCAAATCCTGCATGATGTTCTAAGGAAGTCTGTGCTTCAGGGAATGGGAGGGCTCCAGAGACATCTCAAAAAATAAGGGAATTGTCTTTTCAGACACAGCCTAAGCAAGCAGTAACAAATTACTGCCTTGTGGCTAATTTACTGGTACTTTGTGTGAGGCAAATCTAGTTCCCACATGAATTTTAGTACACAAATGTCACCAACATGTGCAGCCTTAGCAGAGGCAACAAGAAGTGAAAGACAAGATAATTCATCAGTTCCTTAATGGACATACAAACAACTGTGATAAAACTGATGCCATTCAGATTGAACTGCACATTCCAAGTGTCAAAAATCTCCAAATTAGCATAAGAGAAAAACCTTTCCTAGGGCAAATAGATTACTTGATAGCAAAAGAGGTTAACTCCAAATGCAAAGTCCTGAACACTTAATTCGACCTGAAAATGAGTTTTCCCATGTGTTAAGAGTGAGAGAACAGCAGGAGATGGAAATCAACTGATCAGCCCTCAGGACTAATCAAGGTGCAAGGTACAAAAGCAGAAAGTTGCACACGGGGCTCCACAAAGTAGTTTGTTGGCCATTTCTGTCAGCTCTACCACAGTTCTACTGCTATCCCCAGATGGAGGCAAGGAAAAACAATACCACTAAAACCAACATATGTCTCTTCTCCGTTACATTTTTATATCCTTTTTGTTTTCCCTCCTCACAAAGGAGGTATCATAAACACTTTAAAGGAATGTACTGCAAAAACGCATTCTAAACTTTTTAGCTCTCACATGACCTGCTCTGAAACCCAGCTGCAAGTTTAAAAGCAATACAAGTCATATGACATTATAACCTTAAAAAAGTTTTCTTTCATGTTTTCAAAGAAATCAACAATCACAAAAAAAAAACAAAAACCAGTATCTTTCCAAAAACTCAAAAATCCAGTTATTTGTTTTCAAGACCGCTATGCAATAATTGAAAAATTTGGGAATGACATTTACGCTGTTTTTTTAACTCGGTATGCACATTATTTGCATAATAAAACATAAAATATCTGAATTTCTACTAGTGCCATGAAATCCAAAAGTTCAACAGGATTTAAATCAAACCTACAAACAAGCACCCAGAATTAAACAGTGAAACTCCCGTATCGCCGACACTGACATTCATCAGTTTTATCACTTCTGTATTTCTAAACAATTAAAATACCCAAAACCATTCACTCACTGCTAACCAGCATTTACTACCTTACAGTTCAGTTCTGCTAAAATCACAGTCTTTTATACCATAAAACTCACCTTAGGTCTCAACCAAGAGATCTTGCCTCTGAACTGTGCAAGTGGGGTAGAATAATCAAAAAATAAAGAGGTATCACTGGCTGGAAACGTGGGGTCTGTATAAAGGTCTCTTTTCACAATTAATTGCCTTTTCTCTCCCAGCATTTTCAACACAGTCTTAGGTAGCTTTGCCGGCTATTTCCAAGACTATATTGCCAAGCACCAACCTACAACACAAGTGAGCGTTACTCGGGAATTGTAACTGAGAAACAAAAAGCAAAGACTTATTTAGGAACAAAAAGTCTCTTACTCCTTCCGCGGAGCACCCTGCACCACGCCATTGCCGGTCTCTTTCAGCACCTGATACCACCCTAGAGGTCCCCCGCTCTGCTGGAAAAGAGAAAGGGGGAATCTCTGAGGTGACCTACACCAGAAGCCTTCTTAGTCCAGGCCCCGCACACCCTCCCCACAAGTCCCCCCTCCACCCCCCCCCCTTTCCCTCACACCACCCCTATTAAGGGGCTCTCCACACACACCTCCTCTTCCTCTCGAGACATACCCTCGCCACACACACACACACACACACACACACACGACGACCCCCTTCACCACAACGGGCCTCAACCCGGCCACCGCTGCACACGTATCCCCCTCGTCCAGCGCAGCAACCTCCCCACCACGGGGCGCGCCCCGCCGCCATGCCCGGGGCTGCCGTTACCGCGGCAACGCCGGACACACCGCCGCTCAGCCTCTCGCCCAGCCCGCAGTTAACGGATCGTACCGCTAACCAATGAGAAGGCGGCAGGCGAGCACGTGGTGCATACACCACCAATCCGACGCGGCCTGCGGAGCAGGGGAGGGCAGGTCCCAGCGTGCCCCGCGGCCGGCGGTGGTGGCCGCTAGAAGGAGGTGGCAGGGGTGTTCGGCAGTGCGGGGCCGGCGATTTTGGGCGGTGTTATGCACTCAGGAATAGCTGGAAGAAACTGAACGTTCTCCTCCTCAGAGCAGGAGGAGGAAAGCTTAACGGTCACCTAGCTTAGCTGAACCTTAGGAGGGTGAGGAAAACGAAGCCAAGATTGTGACAAAAACTGCCTGAGAAATTGTGAACCCTCACAAAGTCATTTTCCGACACAACAGCGAAGATCACATATTCATGTAGTTTGTCACTACCTGGATGAGGGCTGGCGCCCTCCTTCTGTGGAGACGGTATGAAACAGTTGGAGTTGGTCAGCCTAGAGAAGAATCCAGAGAGACCTTAGAGCAGCTTTCAGTGCCTAAAGAAGGCCTACAAGAAAGGTGGAGAGGGCCTTTTTACAAGGGCATGTAGGAATAGGACAAGGGGGAATGGCTTTAAACTGAAAGTGGGTAGCTTTAGATTAGATATTGGAAAGAAGCTCTTCACTGTGAGAGTGGTGAGACTAACAGGTTGCCCAGAGAAGCCATGGCTGCCCCATCCCTGGCAGTGTTCAAGGCCAGGCTAGATGGGGGTTTGAGCAACATGGTCTAGAGGGAGGTGTTCCTGCCCATGGCAGGGGCGTTGGAACTGGGTGATCCTTACGGTCTGTTCCAACCCAAACCATTCTGTGATCATTAATAATTGTCCAAGGGCTGAACTGACAAAGGAAATAACATTGCTTTTCATACTTTGATAGCTATTACTGCCTCATCAAATAAAGAAAAAATACATTAAAAAATACTGACTTGCTAGAAACAAACAATGCCAAAGGAAATAAATAAAAAAAAAACAAAAAAAAAAACAAGGCTGCCTTTTTGTTTGTTTGTGGTTTTTGGGGGGTTTTAGGGTGGTTGGTTTTTTTTTTGCATTTGGGCCTTTTACACAAGTATGGTCAAATAAGCAGGTGCTGATCCAACGTGAAAGGACATGATGCTTACAAAAAAAGCTGGTTTTCACACTCACCTATAATGATGGGTTCAAATCTAAGGGTTATGTTACCTGGTCATTGGGCAGGGAGGTTGTTTTAATGAAAGAGATCCACAGAACACACCGGTCTGACTCATTTCTTCCAGAAATGAATGCAGAAATCCTCCTCTCGAACCTCTGCCTTGGAGAAACAAACACAGGTAACTCTAGTAGCTGTCTAACCATGGACTGGCATTCTCGGCCCCTTACTTATGCTTGTTGCACAGACCTAAGGCATACAGCAAATTTAATCAACAAAGACATTTCACATTGGATGTTTCCACCCTTTCAGGAGCAAAGGAAACATTGCCATCAGTAAGAATAAGGACCTCTCTTGTCTACAGCTCATGCAAGAAAGCTGCAGCTGCGCAGGCTGCAACTGAGCTGACACAGGAGGGCTCTGTTCAGGGAGGGAAAAGACAAACAAGGCCTCTGTGTCAGGAACAGTGAGGCTCTCATCTGCATGATTTCACCCTTGCTGTGCTCTTTAGGCAACAGCAGTCACAGGTCACAACTGCATAAATTCCATTAAACGCAAGATTCTAGAAAGCAATATGAATATTGAGCTCTAACTGTAAATACAGTAGATCCAATCTGGAATAGTAAACTAGTTACACATGTAACAGTATTTATTTATGATGTTATTAGAAGTAAAGAGATGGACATTATCTTGGTCTCTATCTGACATGCTTTCCTTGCCTCGCTGCAAAGTTCAAAACTGGCAAATTCATACATTATGCAGCTGGCAATGGGTGGGTTTTTTGTCTATTGACCCCAAACTTCTGGGAGCAAAAGCAGCAGAGAATTTTCTCTGTGGCCTCTTGGCAATCCTGCTGGATTAAACTACTACTGAAGACAAAAACACAGGTCTATTTATACAGTAAATCTTGAAGAGCATATTTTAAGACAAAATGACACTTGCCTTTTTGTTGATGTTTCTCAGTGCACTTTACTTAGGTTCCTCCTATTCCTTGTGAAAGAAGAAAGCAGACTTCCAAGAAGTTGTGTCCATTTACTATGAGAATTTAAACATTTAAAAAGGATTTGCAGCCAGTTAAATAGCTTGTTTCCACATGAATGAAAGCTATTCTTTGACAGAGTAGTTTTTGAGACTTTCATGATCATTTTCCCGTTTGGGGGTTTCACCACCTCGTGTCTGCTTTTGTCTCCAATTCCAGATGGTCCAAGGACAGGGAGAAGGTTAAAAGTGATCGAGCAATGGTGCTTGGGCACAACACGTGTGTTTGTTTCTGCAAACTGACACACCACAGAAGCTGTTCAAATGCACTGGGGAGCTCTTCACATTCTTTGGATCCTCATACACAGCTTAGCTCCTGCAATACCGCTAGGCTGACAGTGGTCGGAGCAGTGTCAGAGGAACTGCACAGAATGGTATTTTGCTTAAGGGAGGTTTTGGGGGGGCATTTGGGGTTTTTGCTCAGAAGAGCATGGTTTGGAAGTCTCTGATGGTTTTCATCAGTCAGCCAGAAGCAGCCTGGTATCACAGTGCTCTCTGCAGCTACTGCGAAGACAGGCTCATCTTCTTCCAGAGCAGCTTGGCCTGAGGAAGATTACCACTGCTAGGCAAACATCTCCCTCATTACCTCAGGCAGACCTCTAGGAGGTAGAGCAGAGCTCCAAACTTCCATGCTGGCTACCGCAGCACACAAGAACAAGGTGGTACAAGACACCTAAATTAAAACAATGCACAAAGCTTAGTCATACATTTAAGGTCACACACCTGGATTGTCAGCTGGGTATGACTTAAACCATGACACTTTACACCAAATCATAACAGCATGAAGAATATCCCATTCCTTTCCTATCACTTCCCACTCTTCCTCAAAACCCAAGTATGTGTTTAGAAAAGGGTCAAATACTCTGCAAAACCCATTAATGCCATTTCTTAAGTTTCAGAGAGACTTGTCACTAGTATAACACCTTCCCTTTATGGCAGAAAGCACACTATGTTCAACATAACCCTAATTCTCTTGACAAGAAATCAGAGGTATAAGACTTGATTTTTTCCAGTGCAGAAGGTGCACATAGAGTCAGGGGAAGCGTTCATACAGGTTCAGCCACGTAATGCAACCAGCTAGTCCCCCTCTGTATAGAGTGAACAGTCATCTCCAGAGTACAGATTAGCTTTTTCTCTACACTTCTTTATCTATAAAACAAAAGGCCGCCGTGTTCATGTAAGACATACTTTAACTGTTGCCCAGATTACTAATGTAATTAATGGAAAATAGGGTAAGTGCACAATATTAATAAAAGATTTTTTAAGTGGTGCAAAATACACAGCAGCATAAGGTAATTTTTGAGAAAGTGTGCAATTTCCACTTTCAAAGGATGCTGAAACATTATGCTTCACCCCAGAGCTAAAGCAATACATAAAATGTGGAAGACATACCTTGCAGCAAGAGACCAAACAACTCCATCTGTTTTCTTTACGAATTAAGAGGTACTTACATGGGAAAGAGTTTAGTAACAGTAAGCAGTTTATGTTTCTCAAACAAAGCAGCAGCTTTGAGAGCCAGAAGCTGAAACTAGACAAATCCAAACTAGAAATTAGGCATGTAGCTTTAGGAATGCAGGTAATGAAAAGCTAAAACAACTTACCTGAGGCTTCAGCAAACTCAGTGTCATTTAAGTTCGGTCCTCCCAACAGAAAAAGGAATTCTGTGTCTCAGAGGATAGTGGCTTGATTTCTACTGTGGTTTCTTTTGTACACAAAGTCTGATACTGTCATCATAATGACCTTAAGCTTTTATCAATCTATAGTAAAAAGTGTGAAAACAAGTGTTACGTGATTTGTAAGAGCTGACTGTATTGTGGTGTTTTATCTTTGAGCACACACAAACAGGGAAAACACACTGAAGTGAACTTAAGTGAACTGTGCAATACACGTGCTTAGTATGGATGTACAGAAGATCCTGTGTTATCTGGAAAAGGCAATGTCCAAGGTCATTGCAGTGCAAGAACATGAGAAAATCTGGGTTAAATGAGAACGCTTGGAATGCTTACTTAAAATTGTGCTTGGTTAATGAAGTGCATGGTTAGGATGTTGCAACATATCATGACAGCAAGATTACTGATATAAGCTTGACAGAGTAATATGTGTAGTTAATAACAATTATACTTAATGTATTAACCAACATGGCTACAAAATGCTAAAAAAAAAAAGTCATATTCCATTTTATTGAAGGGTTTGGCCCTTCAGAGCTTTTCCACAAGTAGTATTTTTAGGTCCCGTGTTGCCTTGCTCAAAGCTGCAATGAAATAAAGTAACAGCTTTCATTTTCAATATAATAAAGATAACCCTATTTCTTGGCATCTGCTTAAATAAAACCAATTTGCTGTACTAATCTTACTTTAACAGATCAGAAATGAACATACCAAAGGCAAATAGATAGTTTCTATTTAATCTCAGTCTAATTTGCCTATCAATGTGAAATCTACTACAAATCAGGCCAGAAAGTAGCCTGAAGCATTAATTTAATTTGTGTCAACAAAAGGAAGGCTTATCTCCACAAACTTGCTGCCAATTTTTCAACTCTTCAAAATAAAAATGCACTCCTTGTTCACAGGAGGAGCAAGAGTACCTGAAGAAGGATGCATAGAATGCTTACAACAAATCTTGCTGTGTTTCAGAGAACAAGCCTTATGAAAATAGCCACCTGTTGGGTTCTCAGAGATGAAAGCAGAAACACTAACTTAGATTTCATGTTCTTTAATCAAGAAACACAGTCTATTAGGTTCAGCCAACATTTCCCTGCATTGATGCATGTATATGCAAACACAGTTGA